TCAAGCCTGTATGTTACATCAGGTTTTTTAATACATGATTTGCATTCAACAAACCCACAATGGTTCTCATTATTTAACCAACCCCTATTCAAGTGACTGCTACTTTATTTTGGAATATTATTTTTTTTAAAAGTTTTCCACCATCAAGATTTAACTGACTGGCCTGTATTTTAAACTTATCAACTCGAAGTTGGGCTAGCATTTCTAGTACCTCCTTTATCAATATTTAACCCATCCCGTATCCCAATCACCTTCATTGTAACTTTGCATCTGTCTTTGTTTAAAGATATGCTAAAGTACTCACTTAGCACCTCAGTCATGCGCTCTGCCTCCAGGCATAGCTTTTTTTTAGTTGAGCATAGATGTTAAAGTTGCTGACAATGAAAATCAATTAATGTATCTGGGAGTTTGGGGAGTGAGAATAGGAAGAGACCAGAAAACAGATGGTGAGCTATGTGGAAAAGATAGGGACATTTCAATATGAAACCTGTTTGATTTTCCTGTTATCTTAAATAGAAGAAAAATCTTGGTCACTAATCCTACCTTATTAGTTGCAATTACTTCTGGAGAATGTAAACAAAAGGGAGGGTTATTAACATTGTGGAAGCATGATGTCCATTCTAGACTTAAAAATATCCATTAACTCTTTCCATTTCATGAGGAATAGGTGATGAGAGCAATGGTACACCTTGAAGAGGTTTAGCCAGGTTTTGTGATAGCCAACTGGATTAATTCTACCATGCACAACCCACTCTCAGCTTCTAATTGTCCCACTAACTGCTATTCGTTCCCCCAGACTGATCTTTAACCATTCCTTTGTCAGTCCAACTGTTTTTCTCTCTTGGGCTCTATATCCACTTATTGTTTACCACCCAGCCCCCCACTCCACCCACTCACCCATATTCTGTATAAATATCAACCTTTTCCTAGCTGTCATCAGTTCTGAAGAAGGGTCACTGGACCTGAAATGTTGACTCTGATTTGTCTCCACAGATGCTGCCAGCCCTGCTGAGTTTTTTCCAGCAATTTCTGGTTTTGTTTTGTTTCCGATATCCAGCATCCACAGTTCTCTGTCTGGATATCTTCTAGCTTGTGACCAGATGCTCTTTAGCTGCAGATTGGCTGCTGTAATGGGGGTGCAGTATACGTGAAAGGCTTGTGTGAAAATGTTGAAGGAACGCAACTTTTTCTGGAAATCAGATATGTTGATAGGCTGTTTAGGAGCAAGCACGAGAAGTAAGGTGGAAATGCTTGGAGCACTGTGACTGATGAGGATCCAAGAAGTAATGTGATGATGAGGCTGACAGTCATCGTGATTTGAGTTTGGGGAAGTTGATTTTCAGGTAGAGATTGAATTCAGAAAGGGTGAGTAGTCTCTGTGCAAAGATTGATATAAGACATAGACAAAAGACTTTACTCGGGAGGATACTTTAGAAGACGTGGTGATGAGTTAGGTCTTAAATAATTAGAGAAATACAATGAATAGGGTGAGAATGAGGGGGTGAGAGTGCATTTAGAAATTAATGTTATGCTACCTGTTTAATGGCTTGGATGGGAAGCATTTTGGAAATGCTGAGTGAATTGGGCAATGTTGTCTGCGGGGGAGAAATTGATACCTGAAAGTTTGTAGTATGGTTGCACTAAAGCAGTCTGCTGCATATACCAGAGCTTATTGGTTTTGAAAGATGGATGTTGCTGAATTAAAATGCAAACCTTACTTACCTATTAGATTTTGGAAAGCTTCAGAACAATGAATGCTTCTGTGACATCATGTTCCTCATGTATGCTGGTAATACCCAACTCTACCCTCACCATCACTTCCCTCAACCCCTGTAGTGCCTCCATATTACCAGACTGTCTGCTATCCAATGCTCAATGAATGGACATTTCCTCCAACTCAATATTGGGAAGACAGAAGTCCTTATCTTTGATTCCCTGCCACAAACTCTGTTCCCTAGCAACCTAGACAGTTTCTCTCATAGCAACCACCCTGAAGCAAAACCAGACCACTTGTCTTGGTGTCATAATTGAACCTGAGATAAGCTTCCAACCACAACTTTACAGATCAGTAAGATCACCTACTTCCACTTCTGTACTTTCACCCAAATCCAACTCTATCTGAATTCATTTACTGCTGAAGCCTAATCCATACACAAAACTCCAGATTAGACTATTACAACACTCTCCTGGCTGCCATCTCATCTTCCATCCTCCATAGAGTGGAATGAAAACTTTACTGTCATTACCCTATCATGCCCCAACTCTCATTCACTCCTCACACCTGTTTAGTGACTGTATTGTCTCTTAGTCCGTCAATGCTTCAACTGTTTTCACATCCCTCCATGGCTTTGCCCCTCCCTTTCTAAGTGATAGTTTATCCAATCCCTCAGTATTGATTCTAGCAATTTGCCCACCGCTGAAGTAAGACTAACTGCCCTATTATTATTTGGCTTTTCCTTTGTACCCTTTTTAACCAATGGAAGCACAGTTGCATCCTCTAGTCTCCTGGCACCTAACCTGTGTCTAATGAAGATTGGAAAATAATCGTTAGAGCATCTGCTATTTTCTCCATGACCACCTCCAACATTCGAGGGAACTTCCGTCCAGCCCTGGCAACTTATCCACTTTCAAGGACTCCAATTCCTCTAATGCTTGCTCTCGTTTTATTATTATCTTACCTGATATTTCACACTGTTCCTCCTTAGATTACTCTATCCACATCAACCTTTATGAACATGGAGACAAAATAATCATATAAATTCTTTTCCTATCTCCTACATCTTCACAATATTTCCCTTCTTCATCTCTGATAGGTTCTACATTTTCCTGAACCATCCTTTTGCTCTTTAATTACTGGTAAAACATCTTTGGGTTTTTCTTTATCTTGCTAATATTTTTTCATGTTCTGTCTTTGGTTTACATTTTTTTAAACTAGATTCCTGTACTTTCTATACTCCTGTAGGCTATCTGCAGTGTTGAGTTTTTTTTTGTGACTATCATAAGCTTTCTTTTTCTGTTTAATCTTCCCCTGCATTTTTATAGACAAACATGGAGGTCTAGATTTGGCAGTACCATTCTTATTTTTGGATGTCTGTTTTGTGTCCTAAGGATCTAATCTTTTGGTGCCTCTCACTGCTTTACTGCAGATACATCCTTTAGCAGTCCTGTCCTCAGCCAAATCACTTCTCAGTTCTGTAAAATTAGTCTCCAAACCCCCTTCCAACATTAAAAACTTTTACTACTGATTTATCTCTGTCCTTTTCCATACGTTTACGAAATTTGACCGACTTGTGGTCACAGTCCCTGATATCTTCACCCACTTGCCATGTAACCATAAAATTTCTTCTTATTGATTTTTGATATGCCTGGCAAGTTTCCTTTTATAATCCCTTTAGTAACTCTTATAAGTTGCTTTGTGGCCCTCTGCTGGTCTTTGTATTTTTCCCAGTCAGCTGGATCTGTGCTGTTCTTCACATTTTTGTAAGCTCTTCCTTTTAGTTTTAAGTTGTCTCTGATCTCTTTAATTGTCCTTTGCTGACATTAAGAACAGCCATGTGGAGCTTTTCCCTCTCGGGTATGAACTGGTTTTGTATTGTATTAAATGTTTCTTTAACTATCCTCCACTGTTCTTCAGTTGCTGAACCCATGAGCAGATTTTCTTAGTTTACTGTGAACAATCTCTGTCTCATCTCATTAACATCGGCCTTAGCTAAATCTAAAACTGTAGCTGAGTCATGCTTTTCGCTTTCAAGCACTACTCTTGTACTCTATACCCCTATTAATAAAGCCGAGAACACTATGTTTTATTAACTGCTCTCTATTCCTGTCATGACATCTGTGTACACATCGACTCGGGTCCCTCTCACATCCACTTTAGAATTGTACTGCCAATTTTATATTGTTTACAAAGTGTATCACTCTCACTTCTCTGCACTGAACCTCACCAGCCAGCTATCCAGCCGCTCAAACAATTTGTCAAAGGTCTTTTGGAGTTCCACACTGTCCTCCTCTCAATTTAGTTTTTTCAAGTTTTGTGTCATCTGCACACCATGATCTAGATCATTAATGTACATCAGGAAAAGCAAGGGTTCCAACCCCTGGGGAACTCCACTACAAACCTTTCTCCAGCCTGAAAACTGTCCATTGACCATTACTCTGTTTTCCATCACTCTGCCAATTTTGTCTTCATGTTGCCACTGTCCCTTTGATACCATGATCTACAACTTACCTTCCAGGTCTGCTGTGAAGCAATCTGTCAAATACTTTCTGGAAACCCATGTATACCATGTTAGAAGTGTCACCTTCATCATCCCTTTCTATTATCTCTTCAGAAAAGAACTCCAACAAGTTAGTTAAGCATAGATAACCATGCTGACTGCTCCCACCTTTTTCCATGTGACTGGCTCTATCATGAATAATTGTTTCCAAAAGTGTCCCCGCTATGGAATTTAAACAAACTGGTCTAAAATTGCTGGGATTAGCCTTAAACCTTTTTGTTTGAACAAGGCTGTAAAGTTTGCAAGTTTCCAATCTTCTGGAACTTCCCTGAAGTCCAGGGAAGACTGAAATATTATAGCCATTGTTTCCTCGCTTCCTTCAAAATCCTTGGATCCATCTTACCCAATCTTGGCATCTTGTTAAATTTAAATGACAACAATCTATCCAAGACTACTTCCTTATTTTGTTTTTGACCCTTCTATTGACATTTCTTCCTCTGTAACCATGGCTTGGGCAGCATCTTTCTCTTTTGTAAACACACATGTAAAGTATTCATTTAATACCTCAGCCATGCCCCCTGCCTCCATCTGTAAATCCTCTATATGGTCTCTGATTGGCCTTATTGGTCCTTGCTAATTTGTTAGTCTGAGTTAAGCTGACTGAACTTTGTAACCAACAGTATGTTTTATGGATGTGCCCAGCAAAAAGTAATGGGAGTTAGCGTTGCTTTACAGCCATGGTGGATTGTCCAACAGAAAATAATAATTCTCCCTCTCTTTCAGCTACAAAAAATGGCTAAAAAGGAAATGGTTAAACCACTTTTGGGAAACAAGAGTGAAATTCATCATTGCGGCCTCCAGAAAATTGATGTTGGCATTCTGGGAACTGGAGATTTTGCACGCTCTTTGGCTGCACGTCTGGCATGTTCTGGTTATGGTGTAATCATAGGAAGCCGACATCCTAAACGCACTGCAGCTTTGTTTCCGACTATGAATGAAGTTACCAGTCAACGGGAAGCCATAGGCAAGGTCAACATTATCTTTGTAGCAGTGAACCATGAACACTACAGCACATTGAATGAACTAAGAGATGTCCTGGCTGGGAAGATTTTGGTGGATGTCAGTAACAATATGAAAATAAATGTCTGTGAGGAATCAAATGCTGAACACCTTGCTACTATGTTCCCAGAATGCACCGTTGTGAAAGCATTTAATGTCATCTCAGCCTGGGCTTTACAGTTTGGAGCAAGAGATGGGATTAAACGGGTAGGTATCAGAGAAATAAATGGTGCAAAGTAATTTCTTGCTTTGTTAATATGTTATGATTTCTGCAGAGGAAATATCTTAGTATAACTTATTTATAAGTAATTTACAAATGTGCAAAATAGGAGCAGAACATTTATCCCTTCTAGCCTGCTTCAGAACTCAAAGATCATGACTCATCTGTTTGTGTTTTAAATCTCATCTACCCTAATTACCCTTAGTTTCCTGGCCTAACAATAACCTATCTACCTCGGTCAAAAATATTCAGTGACCCTGCTTCCACCGTCTTCTGAGGCAGAGACTTCTAAGGTCGCATAACTCTGAAGGGGTGGGGTGCACTAAATTCTCATCTCATCCCTATCCTGAAAGCGCGACCCCTGACTTTGAAATAATGCCCCCAAGTTCTGGACTCACCGACAAGAGGAAACATCCTTTCTACATTTGCCTTGTTGAGACCATTCTGGATCTTACGCACTTCACCAAGTCACCCCTCACTTTTCTGAACGCCAGTGGAAACAAGCATCTGTCCAATCTTTCCTCGTAAAAGAGCCTGCTGATTTCAGGTATCAATCTGGTAAACCTCCTATGAAACACCTCAATGCATTTAGTAAATTTCCTTCATTAAATAAGGAACAAAATTAACTGCACATAGTTTTCAAGATGTCGTCTCACTAGTGTGCTTAATAAGTGAAGCATTACATCTTTGCTACTTTGCTAAGTTCCTCTCAAATAAATTAGAACATCCCATTAGCTACCTTGATTATGTGCTGTGCTGGAATATCTAAAACCCTCTGCACCTTGGAATTCTGCACTTGTTGTCCTTTTAAGTAACACTCTGCTTTTTCATTCTTCCCACCAAAGTGAAGAGCTTCACATTTTCCCACATTATACTCTAATGCCAGTTTATTTTGCCCACCCAATCAAATTGTCTATCTGTCTGCAATTTCCCTTTGTCGTTTACACTAAGTCCTTTTCCACCTATCTTGGTGTTGTCTATGAACTTAGCCACCATGCTTTCTGTCCCCTCATCTAAATCATTGACATAAATTGTAAAATGTTGAAATCCCAGTACAGAATCCTGTCAGACTTCATTTGTTAAACATCCTGCCACTCAGACCCATTTATGCATTATCTCTGTTTGTGCTGGTCACCCAATCTCTATGCATGCTAATGTGTTATCCTCACACCATGAGCTTTTATTTTCCAATAATCTTTAATGTAGCACCTTCTTGAATACCTTCTGGAAATCCTAGTATGTTTACAGGGTCCTGTCTATCCATGCGCATCTTAGTCCTTCAAATAACTCCAATAAAATGGTAAAACATGATTTTCCTTTGACTCTTCCCAATTACCTGGAATTTTTCAAATTGCTACAATCTCTTCAATGATCAGTTCTAACATTTTGCCCACAACAGATGTCAAGCCAACTGGCTATATTTTCCTGTTTTTTTGCTTTCCTCCCTTCTTGGATAGAGAGGGTATCTTTACTGCTTTCCAGTCTGATGGAACCTTTTCTGAATCTAGGACATTTTGCAAAATTAACACAAAAATACCTACCACCTCATCAGTCACCTGTTTAGATTCTCGACTGAAATCTGTCTGCACCCGGAGACTTGTCAATCTGCAGCTCCATCCACTTTTTTGAGTACCACTCCTCTTGTGGTTGTGATTTTTCTAAGTTCCTTTCTCCCTTCCAGCGCCTGAAATACAGCTATATGTGGAATGCTTTTGTATACTCTGTAGTGAAGTCAAAAGCAAAATATTTGTTCATTTCATCCATCATTTCTTATTGAATATTAACTCCACATTTTTGCTCTGTAAAGGACCAGCACTCACTTTCTCTTTTCTTTTTCAAATAATCTAAAATTGGCCAAGAGCTTCTTCAGTTTCTAGCTGGCTTCCTCTGATACTCTAATTTATTTCTCCTGGTCAATCTTTTAGGTCATTCTCTGCCATTCTTAATATTCTGACCAATCATTTAATTTGCCACTCACCTTTGTGTGGTTATATGCTTTTCTTCAACTTTTCTGATATTTTCCTTACCTTTAGTTAATCACAGATGGGGGACCTCCATCTAGAATGTTCTTTATAGTGGGAATATAATAATTGAGTACCCTGAAATACCTCCTTAAATATTTGCCACTATGTCTCTATTGATTATCTCCTACTTTGGTGTGCCAGTTCACTTTGCTAGCTCAACTTCCTTGCCAACGTTGCCCTTATTTAGATTTAAAATATGAGTCTTAGATCTAATCTTCTCTCTTTTCAAACTGGGTATAATATTCAATCACATTGTGGTCATTGCTACCAAGGGATGTCTTAACTGAGATAATTAATTAATCCTGTCATGCCCGTGTGGAGTTTGCACATTCTCCCCGTGTCTGCGTGAGTTTCCTCCGGGCGCTCTGGTTTCCTCCCACAGTCCAAAGATGTGCAGGCTAGGTGGATCGGCCATGCTAAATTTCCCATAGTATTCAGGGATGTGTAGATTAGGTGCGTTATAGGGGGATGGGTCTGGGTGGGATGCTCCAAGGGACAGTGTGTACTTGTTGGGCCGAAGGGCCTGTTTCCACGCTGTAAAGGTTCTAATGTTGATTTCATGAAGTGATACTGCATCTCAATCCTACCATGAGAAACATGAGGTCATAAGAAATAGATGTGGGAATAGGTTTGCAGCCCTGAAGCACATTTTGCTATTAAGATTACAGATGTACTGACTGGTTTTAACTCCACCTTAATTGCCCATTCTCAACAACTGTAATTCCTTTGCCAATCCAAAATCTGTTTAATTCCACTTTGAACGTACTCATGATCCAGCCTCCATTGCTCTCTACAGAAGACAATTCCAAATATTAACAACCTCGGAAAAGAAATTTGTTCTTGCCCCCATGATAAATAGGGGAACACTTTTTTTTAAACTGTGCCCCACAGTTCCAAATTTCTCCCACTTTACATGGAAGCAGCTTTTCCTGATCTGAATTACTAAGTTGGAAAAATGACATGCCTCATTCTCCTACAGGTGCTGATCTGCAGTGACAGCCATGAAGCTAAATGTGTAGTGACTGAAATGGCACGAAATATGGGATTCATTCCTGTGGATATGGGCTCGCTATCAGCTGCAAAAGAAATTGAGAACCTTCCGCTTCGCCTTTTTCCTTCCTGGAAAATACCTGTCCTTATTTCACTAGGCTTATTTGTATTTTTCTATATCTATAACTTCATTATAAGTGTTATTCACCCATATGTAGTGAAAGGACAGAACAGATTTTATAAAATCCCAGTTGAGCTTGTTAATGTCACTCTGCCATGTGTTGCATTTGTGATGCTGTCCCTTGTTTACCTACCAGGAGTCCTAGCAGCCATCTTTCAGTTGCATAATGGCACCAAATACAAACGTTTTCCAGGTTGGTTAGATCAGTGGCTTCAGCAAAGGAAACAGCTTGGCCTTTTGAGCTTTTTCTGTGCTATTTTGCACACAATCTATAGCCTCTGCCTCCCAATGCGCCGATCTGCACGTTACGAGCTGTTGAATGAGGCTTTTAACCAGGTAAGAGAATTATAATTTTGAACATGGTATGTGAACTGATGTACAGTTGGAAAATTTTAGAAGTGGTGCAACAAGCACGCCACCGAGTGGCAGGTTTCATTAAAAATATTATTATGACCATTTTATAATAAGTGCCAAACTAGGTTGTTTCTCTTCCCACAACTTTTAAATAAAATTGGCATTTTGTTCAAAGAAACTTAAAATAGTTTATTGCTGGTTTGGGGGTTGGAGTGTAGGGTGTGCAGTGTAGAGATGAATTTCTGGAATTCTCATGGAATGTTAATTAAGCAATTCCATTCAAAGTACTGCTTACAAGTGCACATTTAAAGAATATTTAGGTTAAGAGCTTTAATTTAGTAATTTGATGTGCCAGCTAATTGTGCCAAGTTACATAACGCATTAAAGAGTTTGCTGTTAGCTGTGGTGTATGAGTACTTTGCATTTTAAAAGTAAATTAGCAATCAACAGACAAATAACAGCAACTGTTATCCTGTGAAATGACCATCACAAATAATAATTAACCATGAGGTTGTAGGCATGCTCGCCGAGCTGGTGGGTTTGGTTGCAAACGTTTCATCACCCTACTAGGTAACATCGTCAGTGCACCTCTGGTGAAGCTTCACTGGAGGCACTGACAATGTTACCTAGCAGGGTGACAAAACATTTGCAACCAAACCCACCAGCTCGGTGAGCATGTCTACAACCTCATCCACAACTCAAGCTACAAATCTTATTAAACTTTAATAATTGACCAGCATAGACCATTGCATTTACTGTACACACATCTGTTCTTGACTGATCTACCTGCCAGTCATACTTGGGATCATAATTTGTTTGAGTACATCACTACTGTTTACAAGTTAAAAGCGCATTGGGCAAAAATTCAAATACTGTTAAGAGTGCTGTGTGTGGCATTAATAGAAATCTGTTAATTAAGGAAATTAACCAAAGCTGTAGATCTTGATGGCCTTTCTAACCTTTGCAGATTTGTCTTCTTTTTTGAAAATTTAGAGGAATTGATTCACGCCTCCTTCTTTAACATCTCATTTGGTTGTGTCAAAAATTTTAAGTTCCTTTTAGCACGAAGTGTAAGGTTTTCTTGAGTGAGAGACAGAAGAATTTCATTACTTACTATCTCTGAGAAGAATAATAAAATACAACACTAGACATATAATCACTGGTATAAAGTTTAAAAAGGGGTGAACGTCTTGTACAAAATGAATATCAAGAACAGGCAGTTTGAAGAGGAAATATGTTGTTAAACTTGAAAGGGCTCAGAAAAGATTTACAAGGATGTTGCCAGGATTGGTGGGTTTGAGCTATAGGAAGACGCTGAATAGGCTAGGGCTTTTTTTCCCTGGAGCATTGGAGGCTGAGGGGTGACCTTTTATAGAGGTTTATAAAATTATGAGGGGCTTGGATAGGGTGAATAGCTAGGGTCTTTTTCCCAGCACAAGAGAGTCCAAAGCTAAAGGATTTGGATTTAAGGTGAGGGGAAAGATTTAAAAGGGACCTGAGGGACAACTTTTTCACAAAAAGTAGTATGTGTATGGAACGAGCTGCCAGAGGAAGCGGTGGAGATGGGTTCAGTTACAACATTTAAAGGCATCTGGATGGGTACATCAATAGGAAGGGTTTAGATGGATATGGGCCAAATGCTGGCAAATGGGACTAGATCAGATTAAATGTCTGGTCAACACAAACGAGTTGGACCGAAGGGTCTGTTTCCGTGCTGTATAACTCTATGACTTAAAAGTTTTATTTAGAGTCAGAGTTATACAGCACGGAAACAGACCCGTCGGTCCAACCAGTCTGTGCCGAACATAATCCCAAACTAAACTAGTCCCATTTGCTTGCTGCTGGTCCATATCCTTTCCTATTTATGTATGTACCTAAATGTCTTTTAAACATTGTAATTGTACCCACATCCACCACTTCCTCAGAAGATCACAGTTGAGTAACTTATGTTGCATAACATGAGCTGTGCCAAAATTTGTAGATGTATCCTTTGAATTCTCAGTGAATTAATGTTTTGCCAATTTACTTCATCACCTTGGCACTGTTTTGAGAGGCCAAGAGAAACCAGAAGAGTGCAAAGCTTCCAGGTCTTCTCTTACAGACCTTTTTCTTCTCTCTGCTCTGCCCAAATGCTGCTGCCAGAAATACCACTTTATATATATATTCCCTTCTCTGGCTTCATTGCCTCTTTTTTTCTAGCTTGATAAGAGGGTGACTTTCATCTTCAAGATTTGAAACTTATTCGGAAAGATCTAAATCAAACAGGAGTTACAGATCTAAGTAGCTGGTTCCAGTCATTTTGGTGACACATTAATTTCAGTTTAGACTAGGTCTAGTTTATTGATGGTTTCAAAAGTTTGGCGCAGTGTGGTCAGGTGAACACTGCAGTCATACTTTGTTTAAAAAATTAGTACAGCAAACTGTTTTATTAACCAGCATCTATGGGACCAGGAATGTACCAGTTGATCAAATATTCCAGTTGATCAAGAGGTTTGCATAATCAATGTAAAAACACACACTGAGTAATAGAAACATAATGCATCATTGTTATACTTCATTTACAGCATAAATCAATTAAATAATAGTGCAACTTGGTGTTAAATAAAACTTTTAGTGGCAGAGAGTTTTCTCACTCGCACCCTCAACTGACTACTCAGACATTGTGATAATCTAGTAAACTGGTATTCCAGGTATATAATTTTTGCTGGTTTATCAAGAATGCCAGTTTACAAGGAGCCAGTTTAAAAAAAAGAGTTTGCTGTACATGTCTCTGGTATCAAAAATAAATTGAAAGTTTATTTTTGCTAGTAATATAACAATTCACTTCTCAAAAGTTTAATTATTGAAAACTTGAATAATCATTAACTCCTATGCCATGTTAACTGAAACTTTCACCTTGTTTTAAGTATTACTTAAAAAGGCTTAAAAAGTCTGAAAAAGGCTGAAAAAAAGGAACAAAAAAATGGTGGAGTGTTTTTGTGTTGTGTAGGACTTAGTGAATGGTGTTCTGGGGACTAATTTCATTACTCAGAAATGATGATTTCTATGTTTTGAAGAGCCATAATTCAGCATTTTATTCTTATAATGAATGTAGTGAATGAAAACTTTTTAAAATTCTGAGTTATGGCCCTTGAAGTTCGGCACTGTAACCACCCAAAACAATATGTAATGTAACAGAAAACCGGTATTGAGTATGAAATTCCTACTATTTCTGAAACAAAAATCCATGAGTTTATGCTGATGGAGTCAAAATTTGAAACAAATACATTTAATCTTTTCATAGTAAGCATAATGTACAGTCCAGGAAACGTTTTTGACAGGAGAATTTGTAAATGTGAGCACATCTCAGAATTTTTTAGAAAATTTACTGGCCAATTAACTGTTGTAACAACACATTGCTATCACTGTGGTATGTTATTTATTAAAACACTTTTCCATATCTCTTGCATCTCAAAACATAGTATACAGAATGAAGTGTTTTGAAATAAGTAACTATTCAAACATAAAGGATGTGAGACCTATGAACTAAATGCAGTAAACATGCAGCAGATCAGTCTATCAGCCTTTGTAGAGAGAAAATACAGGTTGGCATTTCAGGTGTGGATCTTGCACCAAAACGGAAGAATAGAAGAATGAAGAATAAAGGTGAAAGGTGGGATAATCAAGAGTTAAACCAATGACAATGTTTGTGTTAAGCAACCTGCAAACTGCTTGATAGGAAATGGATTGTTCTAGAAGTTCTTTGCATATGATGCCATATTTGCACACTTTCTTTTTCTGTGTTGTTTTTACAGGTCAAAAATGGTAAAGAAAATGCTTGGGTAGAGGAAGAAGTATGGAGGATGGAAATTTACCTTTCCTTTGGAATTCTGGCTATTGGCATGCTTTCACTGCTTGCTGTGACCTCATTGCCATCAGTGGCTGGTTCTATGAATTGGAGGGAATTTAGTTTCATTCAAGTAAGACAGAATTTTTATTTAAATGAGTCTATGTTTCCACTAACTCCGTATTTAATCAGCGGTGAAGTTAATTATGAACATAAACAGGAGTGGAAGTAGAAGATTACTCAGCCTCTTGAGCCTGTTCCACCATTGAATAAGATCGTGGTTGATCTGTTTTGTTTCAAATTCTGTATTCCCATCCACCAATAACCCTTGATTCCCCTAGCTAACAATCTATATATCCCTGATTTAAAGGGAATCCCCCACCTCCACAGGCAGAGAGTTCCAAAGTCAGGAAACACAGAGAAAAAATGTTCACCTCTTTTCTGTTCTGAAAGGGTGACCCCTAATTTTGGATGTTACACAGTTCTGGGTTGACCCACAAAACCTTTCCATGCCCGCTTTGTTGAGACTACTCAGGACAGCCAACACAAGCTGTCCAACTTCTCGTGGAGACAACCCACTCATTCCAGGTATCAATCTAATAAACATCTTCTGAAGCATCTCCAATGCATCTACATCCTTCCTTAAAGGAGGCCAAAACCGCACAGTGTTTGAGATGTTGTCTCAGTAATGCCCTGTATAACTGTAGTATAATATTCTTATGTTTATGTTCAGTTCCTCTCATACTAAAGTGGATCATTCCATTTGTGGCCTTGATTACTTGCTGTACCTGCTTATGACATTGATACATGCACCAAATGTATTGTTAGGCTGAAAGTACCTAACGGGTTCTTCAAGGTCCAATCAAAACATGAAGACATACGCATTTTGATATAAAGTAAATTTATTAGCTTTATCTATTTAGATTTATGCAAACTAATGAGTGAATCTATTAGCTCAAACTACTTTAGACATATTCAACAAGTGAGTCTCACTGGCTTCTACTTGTCGGGGAATCCTGGGTGACAGCTGGCCCTTGGAGCTCTGTCTCAGATTCCACGGCACCAGTCTGCGGATCCCAGTCCAATGGTGAAAATCTGGTCTCACGGACCTGGTCTGATGGGAAAGACCAACGTGTAGGATGGTCGCTGAAATTAATACTATTCTGAATCTAAGGTTACATACTGAATCCCCATTTCATAATAACGCAAGTACAAAAATAGCTGGAAAGCCAGTCCAGATGGCTCCATATAGATTGCACAAGCAGACAGTTCCCATAGACTTTCCAAGGTCGGGCAGCTTTCTTTCCCCACGCCCCCACCCCAGTCAAAACAGGCTGTTTTTGCATTTGGACTGTTTTTCATGTACATTTCCACTTCAGTTGTTCAGTGTCATGTCCAATTAACCCTTAATGATCTAATTTGAAGATATCATTTTTGACCCTAACACTACACCGGAACACCTAAATACCTCTACCTTGAAATTCTGCAGTTATTCTCCACTTGAGCAATACTCTGCTCATTTTTTCATTTTTCTTGCCAAAATGAAAACTTTATATTGTCTCATTCAATACACCATCTGCCAGTTTTTTTTTGCCTGTCCTTTCAGTATCTGTCTGCAACTTCCTTATGACTTCTTCACAACACACCTTTTTCCTACCTATCTTAACATTGTCTGCAAATTTAGCTACCAGGGCTTTGCTACCCTATTCCAAATCATTGATGTAACATGTAAAAAGTTGACTCCCTAGCACAGCTCGCTGTGGAACTGAACTTGTGACATGTAGCCAATCAGTCGAAGACCTACTTATGGATATTATCTTTTGTGCCAGCCAACCAATCTTCTATCCATGCTAATATGTGATCCCTTATACCATGAAATTTATTTTCTGCAATAATCTAGATGCAGCACACTATCAAATGTCTTCTGGAAATCCATAGACAGAACAGCTCCAGACTCTCTTCCACTCACAGCATGTGTTACTCCTTCAAAGAACTCCAGTGAATTGGTTCAACATGATTTCCCTATAACAAAACCATATTGACTCTTCCAGATTACCTCTGATTGCATAGTTATGATCTCTTTAACGATCAATTCAAACACTTTCCCCATGATAAATGTCAAGTTAACTGGACAATAGCTTCCCATTTCCTGCTTCTCTCCTGTCTTGAATATTTGCTGCTTTCTAGTCCAATGTAACCTTCCCTGAATCTAGGCAATTTTGGAAAACTAACACCAACTCATCGACTAGCTTATTTAGCAGCCTCTTTTAAGACCCAAGGATGAACTCCATCTGGATATGGCGACTTGTCACCCCTTGGTTCCAGCAATTTGCTAAGTTCCACTTTCCCTTCCAGCTCCAAATTTACAGTTATTCCTGGAATATATTCATGTCCTGTATAGTGTAGCCAAAAGTAGCACATCTAATTTCCTCCACCATTTTCTTATTATCAACTATTAACTCCCCATTTCACTTTAGAGGATTAACATTCACTTTACTTTTCTCCTCATAAATATAAAAGTTTTTTCCTGTTTAAAAACTCTTCCTATATGTTTTACATTCCTAGTTAACTTCATTTTATACTTTAATTTCTTCCTCCTGATTGACCTCAGTCATTTTCTGCCAATAACGTGACCTGCCACTCACCTGTGTGCAATAAAATGGTTTCTCCTCAAGGTTATGCTTTCCTTAAGAACTATTGTTAACCACAAATGGTCAGTCATTCCTTTAGAATTTATCTTTATAATAGGCACTCATTGAGTATTCTGAAATATCCCCTTAAATGTCTGTCACTGTTTTCAATTGATCTAGCCCATTGCCTAGAATACGGTTTACTTCAGTTGGCTCACCTTTCATGCCAACTTAGTTGCCGTTATTTAGGGTCCAAAACAAGCTGCTCGAAGAAACTCAAAAGCATTCTTTGAAACCTTCATGCCAAACTGTCTATTCTAATTTATATGTAAATTAAAGTCACTTATTCTTTCCATTCCTTTTTCACAAGCGTGCAACATTACTTCTTGTATACTTTGTCATACATTGTGTAGATCTATCTACACAGTAATCACAATGTCATGTTGGACATCTGTGTTCATTAAGATGCCTGCGATAGCATCACTGCTTGTTTATGATGTAAAACATTTTGCCAACTTATGAATTACGTGCTGGTAAATTCTTCAATTTTCCTTTACTAACTGTCACCACCTGTTGGTCACGTTTTCTAGTTTTGGCAGAAATTCAGATGTGAAACAATGAGTCTTTTGATTGCCTTCCATGTCTGACAGCATTTGGTTAACATTTTAATTGCATTTCTGAATTCACTGTCTTTTATCAAGGACAGGGAAAGAAAAACAATCTTTGTCTTAGAAACCAGAAAATTTACAACAGGCTATTCAGTGAATCATTATTTCACGACAGTTTGTAAATTTACCAGCTAGAAAGTAAACCATGTTAGATTTGTGGTAAGTGCAATGATGCATTTTGTTTGCTCCTTGACAGTGTTTTTTCTACTTTAATAGTGGAATCAGTGGATTACACAGCTGTTACTAGTGAATGAGAAATAACCTAGAGACTTCAGAAAGCTGTCAGCTTTGTCTCTGTTAGGAGGCTCACTACCTTTAAGTCAAAACTAGGTTCCAGAATTTGAACACATGATCTTAATTGACAATTGAGTGTAATACTAAAAGAATGCTCTCTGTGAAACATTTAAACCAAGGTTCCATTTGCCTTTTTAAGTGGATGTAAATGATGCTGTGGCAGATTCAGAACAGACATGAGGAGGAATTACTTCTCTCAAAGGGTTGTGAATCTGTGGCAGATGTCTGGACACTGAATAAATTTGAAGAGATACAGATTTTTAGTGACAGGTTATGAAAAGCAGGCAGGAAAGTGGAGGTCAGGCTGAGATGAGATCATCCATGATTGTATTAAATGGTGGAACCCGCTCAGAGCTGAATTGCCCAGTCCTGTGCCTGGTTACATTTTTATCCTGTAGTACTAATTTTAAGTATTGTGGCTCTGTGCCCTAGCTATCATTTACCCCTTGTCAATATCACTAAATTATCAAGTTGTCTGTATCATACTTTGTGGGCCTATGCATGCACAAAGCTGTAATTCTATACGACAGTGATTATATTAGTGATTGCAATAATACAAAAGTACATTGAGAATGGTGAATTATGATGGGGGAAGTGAAGCAATATTTACAATGTAATCCAGCATTAAATATGAAGATATGCATGAAGCTACCAATAATAGAAATGCATACTAAAAGAACAGTGTCCAAGCTTGATAGCTGATGTACTTATTCATTTGTAAAAATTGGAATGAGATTCCTTTCTAACCAAGTGAACTTTAATTGTTTTTCAGTCTGGATTTGGAAGTGCTGCATTGGTGATCAGCACTCTACACACGCTGACATTTGGGTGGGCTAAAGCCTTCAACTCAGCCCAATACAAATTCTACCTGCCACCTACCTTTACAATTGCTCTCATCATACCTTGCATGGTGCTTCTAGCCAAAGTGTACCTGTTCCTTCCTTTTGTCAATCGCAAACTGACACGGATCAGACGTGGCTGGGAGGTTAATCGCCAAGTTAAATTCTGTAAGGGTGGTGATGCTAGCCAATTTTCAGATTACCAAGCAGAGAACACTAGCATTGTTTAAGAACTACCTCTGCAATATCTATCATTTATTTTTTGAAAATTTGCAAATTTTTTCAATTAATCGAAGCACTAATTCTATTTCTAGAGTATTTTGTAAGTTATAAATAAAAAGCTTTTTTGATATGATTGGTAAAGAATAGTTGTCTGCATTTCTATTTGTTTTGTTTATGCTTTGTACAGAAAGAATTATTAGCATTTTATTCGTTACATACGTGGGTAGTAACATAAAATGCCATTTATTAGAATGAATAGTTTTTAGGAGGGTTGATACTGTAGCAGTTTCTAATGTCATTTGTAATTGTTCAGAAGAATGTTCAGTATATGGAATAGTACAGAAGGAATAGACAGACCAGTGCCAAAACAATAGGTAGTTGTAAACATATATCAAGCACACATCTTCATAGTGAATCCATAAGATTACAAGATCCAAAATCAATAAGCTGCCACATAAAGAAACTACAGCATTCTATAAGTCTTGCAGATTGCACACTCTTCCTCTCAGCCCAATAGAGGATATTGACTTGAAGTCATCGAACTCTAAACATTAACTAAGATTCAGTTAAGAAGCAGGACTAAGCTAACTTAAATGACTTGCCCTTCATTGGAGCTGGAACAGCTAAGTTGTTCATCCTATACCTGGTGATGCGCTTAATAAGTCAGTGTCAAAAACAGCTCAATAACTGCACCAAATTATTTTGTGTAAGCAACTTGCAATATCCAAAATGACTTCAGAGGGTAATGTACGGTTACTCCTGCACAATTTAGTAACACTCAGATAAAAGCAAAATACTGCAGATGCTGGAAATCTGAAATAAACACAATGCTAGAGAAACTCAACATGTCTAGCAGCATCTGTGAACAGAAACGTTGAATCCAATATGACTTCAGAATAAAAGTTGGGTGGGGGCTGGGAGAGGGGAGACAGAGAGAAAATGCTCACACATGCTGGGCAGGAACACTGATTCTTTACTTACCCCATCAGAAACTCTTCCAATGTGACTGCTGCCTTTACCTAGATTAAGTGAATAGAAGTATTTTCTTTGCTGTGTGATGCTTTGGAATGTCAAGAGTGTGTAACAAACAAGCTGTGCCTTTCACTCTACTTTTAATGGGATGGAGACGATTTAATAAACTTTACACTTTTAGTGTAAGTTCTGATGGTTGGGATTCAATAAGTGAATTTATCTCCATTTGAAAAAATATTAACATAACTTGACTACAACATACAGTTTCTGATTTCACTCCATCCTTCCAGTTCCCCAACAGAAAATAAGACAGTGGTCTCCAACCTATTTCAGAATGAATAAGTAACCAATCATAAGCAGGTGGCTATTCCAATTTTCTACCTTTATTGCAGGGAAAGTACTCAATATTTTAAGGCAAAAACATCACGGAAGAGGCTATTAGGCTAACCAAATTAAAGTGTACAGTTCTACTGTCAACATTAACAGGAAATAACTAAGTTTATTTATATAGATGAGCACCTCGATTCATGAACAAGTTTCAGCATATTCTGAAGGATATAATATGAGCTCATTAAAATTGTTTGAGATTTAGCACATTTTATTTCAATCACCATTTTACTACAGGGTTCTTTTTGAACTTTTCATAATCTTCTCTCTTAAAACAAGCAATTTCTGTTTCATGGGCTGAAAAATAAAGAGACAAACATGAAGGTCTTCTATAATATTTTACAAGCTTGTGTTTCGCTCAAAACTAATTGTTGAGAAAGTCCACTTGTGTTTAAATCTTTACAGTCTTGGTAAATTCTATCACTGAATTCTCCAACAGGAAACAATGGACAGTAATTAGAGGTACAAACAAAAAACTGATTTTGTTTTTGTTAATTGGGAATGATGAGATTAATAGTATTACAAACTCTATCCCAAATAAAATCAGCCAATTTAGAATGGATTGGTGACAGTGACCAGATCCTGCAGTGTATGTATGGCTGAAAGTGTATTTTACCACTGAGTCATTTGCAAGCTAGGTTCAGGCTTCTAACTACAAATTGGATATAACTCAAAATTGTAGCTTTTTTGACTGGTTATTATAAACAAGTTGGATTCCTAAATTTGAATTACAAATAAAGTGTAATGTCAAATTCCTTCATTAGATGCAATTTCAATTTTAGCTAATGTGTTAGTTGGACATATAAATTGACAAAAATAAATAATGCTGCAACATTTCAGTCTTAAAAGTTTAATGTTTAAATACTGTCTGTAAACCTTAAATCAGTGACAAATTTGAGAACTGGAATTTAGAACAAATAGTCGATAAGCTGAAATTTCATTTGATTTGAGAATCTACATCTTGTCCCAAAAAATAAATTTAAAGCAATCAAATCTAAATAGCTGACAAAAAGAAACATCACTGATCTGTCCAATTCTACCTGCTCACTAGAAAACTATCTATTTCACATTTACTGTGCATTATGTTGTAAACAGAGATTTATCTTCACTGTTTTGGCAATAGTTTGGGATTGGGCTTTGTTTGTGTTCTAGATTTGTCTAGGCACTAGGGCTAACTTTCAAGTAAGAATCTACGTTTTGACATGTTTGTTTCATTTAAATGTGGAGTTACTCCTAATTTCTGGTGTTGAAATGTAAAACTACTTTCTGTGTTTGAAGAGATTCTTAGATCAAACTGGTTTTCACTAAACACAAACTAATCAGAAAGCAATTCTGAATGCAACAATTGTATGTTCACGCAAACAAAATAAAGACAAAATGTTAATGGTTTCCTAATCACCTACCCACTCCTGCTTCTTTCAATGTGCTCGCCTCCTTTAATATAAGTTGGTCATCATTATCCAAACTTACAACGAGATCATTTGTCTGAAAAATGGAAAATAAAAAGTACTGCTTTAGAACTGGACATGATAAAAAGCACAACCAGGTCTAGGCACCCTTTTAAATTCCTTATCAATAACATCTGGAAATGTGACCCAAAATTGATGGTCAGCATATAGATTAGTCACGCAATATCATTCTTACATTTCACCGTTCCAGTAAACAGTATCACACCAGCGAGACAGACCCATCAGGGTGACAAACCCTGTCATGGAGGTTGAGAGGGAATGACCCTGATCTCCAATGCAGCGCCCATGAAAGAAACCTACTGTTAATTATGGCCTTGCCCTCTGCCAGTTCATTAAATCAATACACCTCCCATGTTGAACATCATTTGAACAAAGTACAGAGGGTAGCAAGGATATAAAATGCTGAGTGGAAAACTTTTAAATGTCCATCACCAAGAGTGGCTTGGTAGTATTCTTCCAACTGAACTAACTGAACGCTATTTGACACAGCTATCAAAATGAGTTTGCAACAGTAAATCTACTGGACCTCATCCTCTCCAATCTAGCTGTCATTCACGTATCTGTCCATGATGCTGCTGGTAGGAATGATCACCAAATAATTCTCAGCACCAGAGTGGTTTGAGAGCGTTTTGCTGTATACGTATCTAACGGCTCAAAACTGAGCATCCATATGGCACCTTAGGCCATTTGCAGCAAGACCGTATTCCATTACAATCAATAACCTTATTGCTTGGAATATTTATCATGTTTATTCCATTAAATTGGGATAACACTGGTTGAATAAAAAGCACAGGGCAGCATGTAAGGAACAACACTAGACATACTGAAAAATGAGATTTCACCGTGTGAAGCCATGAAACAGAGCTATATACATGTCAAACAGAAGCAGTAAGGTGTAAGCAGATAATTGATCGCCATACCACAGGAGCAGATCAAAGCTCCTCAATCCTGTCACATGCAATCATAGATGGTAAACAGTTAAACAAATAACAAGAGGTAGTCGCTCCAATAAACATTCCCATTCTCCATGATGACAAGAGTCTAGTATGTAAGTGCAAAAGACAAGGTTAAAAACCCAGTGGATCCAACTCAGCCTATTTTTGAAACTACCACCCAATTTCCCCTCCCCCACTCAAATGCAGCTTCCAGTGTATCTGATTCAGTTCACATGGTATCAATAAACAGTTAAATGCACTGAATAAAGCAAAGACCATGGTCTGAACAACATCTCAGTTACAGTCCTGAAGTCTTGTGTTGGGGAACTAGCCCCTGCTCCAAGCAAAGCTGCGTCAGTACGGATACAATGAAGTGTCCATTTGACAAAATGGGAAATCATCCAGTTCAAACCAAGAAGCAGGACAAATCCAATTTCACCAATTTATTCTTAATCATCCAAATAACATAGGCCAGCACTGACACAAACATCGAGTGGCACTTATTACTAACCTGCTTCCCAACCCTCAGTTTGTATTCTACCAGTACCACTTAGCTACAGACATCACAGCCTTGTTCCGAACATGCAAAAGAGCCGAATGCAAGTAACTTTCAGGCCACAGATATTAGCCATCTGCCCTTAACATTAACAGGTGAACTCCCAACTATCCTGGGGTCACCACTGACCAGGAATTTAACTGGACTAGTTGCATAAATACTGCAGCTACAACAGAAGTGGATTAATCCCCTGACCACCAAAACATCATCTCCCAAACCATCCACAATCTCATCACTTCAGGTGACCTCCCACCCACAGCCTCCAACCTCATTGTTCCCAAACCCCACACCGCCTGTTTCTATCTCCTTCTCAAAATCCACAAACCTGACCTCCCTGGTCGACCCATTGTCTCCGCCTGCTCCTGCCCCACCGAACTTATCTCTACTTATCTCACCTCCAATTTTCTCCCCCTTGGTCCAGCAACTCCCCACCTACGTCCATGACACCAGCCATGCCCTCCACCTCCTCCAAAACTTCTGATTCCCCGGTCCCCAACACCTCTTCTTTACCATGGACGTCCAGTCCTTATACACTTGCATTCCCCATGCAGATGGCCTAAAGGCGCTCCGCTTCTTCCTGTCCTGCAGGCGTGACCAGTCCCCCTCCACTGACAACCTCATCCGCTTAGCTGAACTCGTCCCCACCCTTAACAACTTCTCTTTCAATTCCTCCCAATTCCTACAGACAAAGGAGTTGGCCGTGGGTACCCACATGGGCCCAAGCTATGCCTGCCTCTTTGTTCATTACATAGAACAATCCCTCTTCCGTAGCTACACTGGCCCTAAACCCCACCTCTTCCTCCATTACATCGATGACTGTATCGGCAGCGCCTCGTGCTCCCACGAGGAGCTCGAACAGTTCATCCACTTCACCAACACCTTCCATCCCAACCTTAACTTCACCTGGACCATCTCTGATACCTCTCTCTCCTTCCTAGACCTCTGTTTCCATCTCTAGCAACCACCTGGAAATCGATATCCATTTCAAGCCTACCGACTCCCACAGCTACCTAGAATACACCTCCTCCCACCCACCTTCCTGTAAAAATGCCATTCCCTATTCCCAATTCCTTCGCCTCTGCCGCATCTGCACCCAGGATGAGGCATTCCACTCCCGAACATCTCAGATGTCCTCGTTTTTCAAGGACCGCAACATCCCCCCCCGACAGTGGTCGCGAACGCCCTCGACCGTGTCTCCCGCATTTCCCGCAACTCATCCCTCACACCCCCTCCATGCAATAACAACCAAAACAGAATCCTCCTCGTCCTCACATACCACCCCACCAACTTCCGGATCCAACGCATCATCCTCCGACACTTCTGCCATCTGCAATCCAACCCCACCACCAAAGACGTTTTCCCCTCCCCACCCTTATCTGCATTCCGGAGGGACCACTCTCTCCGTGACTCCCTTGTCCGCTCCACACTCCCCTCCAGCCCCACCACACCCGGCACTTTTCCCTGCAACCTGCCCCTACACCACACCCCCATCCCAGGCCCCAAGAAGACCTTCCACATCAAGCAGGTGTTCACCTGCACATCTGCTAATGTGGTATACTGTATCCGCTGTTCCAGATGTGGCCTCCTCTACGTCGGGGAAACGAAACGGAACACCTATGCTCGGTTGGCAACAAACAACTGCACCTCCCAGTCGCGAACCATTTCAACTCCCCCTCCCACTCCTTAGACGACATGTCCATCTTGGGCCTCCTGCAGTGCCACAACGATGCCACCCAAAGGTGGCAGGAACAGCACCTCATATTTCACTTGGGAACACTGCAGCCCAATGGTATCAATGTGGACTTCACAAGCTTCAAAATCTCCCCTCCCCCAACCGCATCCCAAAACCAGCCCAGTTTGTCCCCACCTCCCTAACCTGTCCTACCTCCCACCTATCCCCTCCTCCCACCTCAAACCCCACCCCCGTCTTCTACCTACTACCCTCATCCCACCCCCTTGACCTGTCCGATCTCCCTGGACTGACCTATCCCCTCCCTAACTCCCCAACTACACTCACCTCTACTGGCTCCACCCCCGCCTCTTTGACCTGTCTGTCTCCTCTCCACCTATCTTCTCCTTTATCCATCTTCTAGCCGCCTCCCCCTCTCTCCCTATTTATGTCAGAATCCCCTTCCCTTCCCCCATTTCTGAAGAAGGGTCTAGGCCCGAAACGTCAGCTTTCTTGCTCCTCTGATGCTGCTTGGCCTGCTGTGTTCATCCAGCTCTAGATCTTGTTATCTTGGATTAATCTGTGGTCATGTGACTCACCATAACATGTCTATCATCGATAAGGCACAGTTAGGAGTTTGATGGACTAAATTCCACTTGCCTGGATAAGCATCACTCCAAAAACACTCAGAAACCTGACACAATCCAGGACAAAACAGCCCATTTGGCATCCACCGCATTACATAATCCCAAGGACACCAATGTCCATCTCTCATGTTGGACGACAATAGTCCTCCTCAGCTGAACCCGGACGAATTCCTTTGATTCCTCTAGATGACATGATTCAAAAGTATTCCTGCCTAGCCTCCCACATCCATAAATTTGACATAATTTAAACTTTGTTGCCTGTGTTCTTACTAATGCCAACACCTCTGCTCACTGACCTACAGCGGCTTCCAGTCAAACAAAATCTCAATTTTAAACATCTCAGCATTGTTTCCAAATCGTTCCATAACCTTGCACCCCGCATCTCTGAAATTGCCTCCAACTCCACAGTCCTCAGAGCCATCTGTGACATCTAACTCTAGCTTCTTCAGCATTCCCAATTTTAGTTGCTCCACAAATGACAGCCACACCTTAAGATCCTGAAGCCCTAAATTCTGGAAATCCATATTCTCGGCCTTTCCAACTCTCCTTCTTTAGGATATTCCATAAAACCTACCTCCTTAATCAAACTTTGGAAAATCTGGCATAATGTTACTTTATGTGACTCAGAGTTTAACTTTGCTTTATAATGTTTCTGTGATATTTTGGTATGTTAAAGGTGCTCTATCAATAAGATTTTTAAAAAATATTTCCTCCCTTCTCAAGTGCGTAATCATCACAGGGTCTATTATCTACAAGATCCATTACTACAACTCACAATGGGTAATTGAACAGCATCTTCCCAAACCTAAAGCAATGCTGCCCAAAAGGACAAAGGAAGCAGTCATATGGGAACTCCATCACCTGTAAATTGACCTCCAGTTACACTTAGAAGTATATCACAATCCCTTCATAGACACCAAGTTAAAATCCCAAAACTCTACAATAACAAAACTATGGAAATACCAAAAGCAATTCAAGAATGCACTTCAACATCATCTTCCAGCGTCAATAGAACAAAGAACAAAGAAAATTACAGCACAGGAACAGGCCCTTCTGCTCTCCAAGCCTGCGCCGATCCAGATCCTCTATCTAAACCTGTCGCCTATTTTCCAAGGATCTGTATCCCTCTGCTCCCTGCCCATTCATGTATCTGTCTAGATACATCTTAAATGACGCTATCGTGCCTGCCTCTACTACCTCCGCTGGCAACACGTTCCAGGCACCCACCACCCTCTGTGAAAAGAACTTTCCACGCATATCTCCCTTAAACTTTTCCCCTCTCACCTTGAAATCGTGACCCCTAGTAATTGAGTCCCCCACTCTGGTAAAAAGCTTCTTGCTATCCACCCTGTCTATACCTCTCATGATTTTGTAGACCTCAATCAGGTCCCCCCTCAATCTCCGTCTTTCTAATATAAATAATCCTAATCTACTCAACCTCTCTTCATAGCTAGCGCCCTCCATACCAGGCAGCATCCTGGTGAACCTCCTCTGCACCCTCTCCAAAGCATCCACATCCTTTTGGTAATGTGGCGACCCGAACTGTACGCAGTATTCCAAATGTGGTCAAACCAAAGTCCTATACAACTGCAACGTGACCTGCCAACTCTTGTACTCAATACCCCGTCCGATGAATGAAAGCATGCCGTATGCCTTCTTGACCACTCTACTGACCTGCGTAGCGACCTTCAGGGTACAATGGACCTTAACACCCAGATCTCTCTGTGCAGCAATTTTCCCCAGGGCTTTTCCATTTACCACATAGTTCGCTCTTGAAAGGATGAAATAATGAAAGGATGTTGTCCCATTAGGTGAACAGCACCAGCTGATCATCCATCTCAGTACCCTCGTCTTACTTTTGGCCTATATCCTTTGCTATTTTAGCTCTAAGAACTATATCCAACTCCCTCTTTAAAACATTCAATGTTTTGGCCTCAACCGTTTTCTGTAGCAGAGAATTCGACAAGTTCACACTCTCTGGGTGAAAAAAATTTCTCCTTACCTCAGGCCAACCCACTTCCTTAAACTGTGACCCTTGGTTCTGGACTCCCTAGTCATTAGGAACATCCTTCCTGTATTTACCTGGTCATGTTCTGTTGGAATTTTGTAGGTTTCTATGAGATCCGCACTCATTCTTCTAAACTTCAGTGAACATAGTTCTAAAATTTTGGTAAGAACATTTCTGTAACATTGAATTTCAAGAAAATAATTTTCTGTTTGAGGGATCTGAACAAGCTGAGCCAATCTCAAAGGGGCTTTAAATGTCTCTCCTTCAAAATGCAGGAAAGCAGTATTAATCTCTCATATTACTGAAATTAGGTGGTGTTGGATTAATAGAAGTAAAAAGGGAATTCTTACTACAGATTGTCAACTATAGCAATAGTAGTTTTATCAATAGAAGCATGACATGAACTGATCACTGCTGAAAATAACTGTATTATCAATAACAGCAATTAGAATGTAGGACTAACTTTCTTCCAAAAATGTCAAAACAAGGTTAAAAACTGAACTAATGTCAAGTTAAATATTACAATAATTACTATCACAGCTGCTGGATTACTTATGGAACTGATATTGGCCATTATTACAAATTAGTAAAATCTAACCTTCATTTAAACACTAGTTAATTATTCTTCAACAGTTTTTGGAGCCTTGTGCTTTTGAAAGTGAAAATAAACATCTCTTCAAACAAAAATGTTAAAAAATAAGAGTGCTGAAAGAAAATAGAAGGTAGAAACTACATTCCAAAAATTAGGATCAGAAGATTAAAATTTGGATCAGGTTTCTTATGAAAGCTATCATTCATAAGTGGTGAGAACAGGCCAAAACAAAAACACTTCCAGAATTAAAATACTCTTATGCATTTGCAGCAGGAAAGTTGCCTACTAAAGGCAGCTTTCGAAATGATGTTATACATAGATGTCAACACATAGAGTGGGTGTATAAATGGTAAATTAATTTTCATGAATTATAAAGTGAAGCATTTTGCCACAAGAAAGAAAGAAACCACATACTGCTTGGATAATAATAGTCTAAATGGCATACAGGAATGAAGAGGTCCAGGGGTGCACAGTAAAAACTAATAACCTTGATTTCTTTTTTGTATAAAATAGTCAGTGTGTCCAAGAATATAGCATTTTAAAACCTTAACATCTTTAAAACTGAACTAGGATCAGTTTGCAAAGTTGTTAGTTGCCATGTATAAAACGGAATATATATATATATATTGTATATAAACATATATACAGTGCAGGTCTTTGTAAGATTCTAATATGCAAGGAAATTTTGGTTTTGTATTAATGTACAATCAAGTGCAGTAATTTTTTGTGTTAGTGCATCATGGATTACAATTAGTTGTATTAAAATTTTAAATAACAAAAATTAAAAAAATGTAAAAGGTCTTCAGTATTTAAATATACCTTTGCTCCATGTGCTTGGTGAATAATCTTTAATGTATCTGCAGAGAGATTATAAAATTAGTAAAAGTTACTCTGTTCAGAAATAAAAAGAAAACCAGATCTGGACGATTCTGTCCCTGCTTTCTCAACCTGTGTTTAACATTATAGATTTCTCATTCTCTGTTCTTGTTTTCACCACTCAGTGAACCTGGTGTTAGATTTAGGGGTCGGATCCTTTTGTAAACACAAAAATATTCTGGTTTATCCCTCTAAAGCTTGGGAGAGTCAAGCTGGAACTACAAATAGCTAGAGAATATCAGACTGGATCACATAATAATAATTGAATTATTTAGTTGAATCATAATTACTTACTTTCCCTCAAACAAGAGTGCTCAGAAAACTGAAACAATAGCACCGGTGCTTCACAGCTTTCTTAGCTCTTCCTAAACTCAGGAGCAGGCACAAGGAAGATAATTAAAACTAGAAGGAAGGCGGATACCAGCCTGGCTAATATAGTATATGATATTCATCATTAATGATTTAGAGGGAAGACATAACTGCCAGTCATCTGCGACAGCAGGAACATGTAGTACCATGACCAACACCACTCAAAAACAAAAGTTGAAAGACTGACCGCTATAACACTTGGGAACTGTATCTCATGGCTAGAAATATTCAAACGTTATCTACAGAACGATAATGTAGAGGCTGATTGTCACACTTTATGGTATTTCAGAATCATTGAAATGGTACTTAAATGAATTATGTTGGGCCAGATTTTTCAAGGAGTAGCAATCATAATCAGACTGACACTTCCCTCCACTTTTTTTTTAAAATGTTAAGAAAGAGCTCTGCATTCCAATTATGTCTCCTTCAGAAATGTTCAGTGTACTTTAAATCTGACAAGTCTCTCATAGTGCAAGATAGTCAAGGGAAGTGAACCACGACTTTTTTTTCACAGTATTAGTTGCAGTATTGTACGATTGAAATGTCTAGCAGTACAGACAACCACTATGAAAGCCCTGTGAAAGGCTAAGTACGCAAAGTAAGCATGAAGGTAGGTGCATCCGGAGAGGGGGATAATCTGGGTTCGGTGTTAGGGGTGGGGTCTGGGAGAGGTGTACTTGGGCATGTGGCAATTTATGTAGGATTTAAACTAGGCTTCAAAATTGTCCAACATTTCCTGGGTAAGAGTTAACTTTCCTGCAGTGGAACCACCGAGTTAAATGGATATTTCTAAGTGTTCGTTGCCACAATAAGGATTCCGCAGGTTACTAATATGCAATTCCCAACTACATTGCAGAAATGATTATCTAGCCACCAGAATATCCAGGCAATTATTTTTAATGAAACCCTTACATAAATGAAAATATTTTCTAATGATTAAAATGGCAGCTAAATTGAGCTATTTCAATTCAAATGCAACATACCATAGGTGTATTTCTTAAAAGGTGGTGGAAGACCAGGTTTTGAAGATAAATCTGTGGAAAGCAAAGACAAACATTTCTACATAACATTGATGCAGATTATCAAATAAAAAACAGTCACCATGTTTGGGTATGCTGCAGTCGTTGCTCAATGATGACAAAAATATAACTTCACCTGAATGGGAACATGACAAATTACAATTAGCATAAAGGAAATAGCACTTGAATACAGAAGATTCATCAAGTAAGAAACCGTAGTCAAAACATAGGAGGACATTTAGCCCATTCAGTCCATGTTATCTTACACAGTAATCCAGTCATTCCTACCATATACACCAGAAAATTTATTTCTGTTAAGATCATTTCAACTTCCACCATCCTTTTCGGCAGCAAGTTCCAGTTCATTATCATTCATTGCATAAAAAGCTCTTCCTCACATCTTCACATCACAAACGCAACAACTTAAATGCATAAGAAAAACCAAAAGAACTGCGGATGCTGTAAGTCAGAAACAAAAATAGAAATTGCTGGAAAAGCTCAACAGGTTTGGCAGCATCTGTGAAGAAAAATGAGAATTAACGTTTCATGTCCGGTGACCCTTCCTCAGAGCTTAAAAATGCATGTTGTGTCATACTTGCATCATCGGCTAATACAAAAAGCCTTCACTCGTCTACCCTATCTAAAGCTGTCACAGAGTAATAAGACCCTATAAAATCTCACCCAAACCATCTTGGCTCCAAAAAAATGCCAGCTTCTCATAATGTTCTTGTAGCTACATTACCACATAGAGTCAGAGATGTACAGCATGGAAACAGACCCTTTGGTCCAACTCACCCACACCAACCAGACATCCCAAATAAATCTAGTATCATTTGCTGGCATTTGGCCCATATCCCTCTTAACCCTTCCTAATCCTATATCCATCCAAATGCCTTTTAAATGTTGTAATTATACTGGCATCCACTACTTCCTCTGGCAGCTCATTCCACACTTGCACCACTTTCTGTGTGAAAAAGTTGTCCTTTAGGTCCCTTTTAAATCTTTCCCCTCTCACCTTAAACCTATGCCCTCTAGTTTTGGACTCCCCAACCCTGCAGAAAAGACCTTGGCTATACACCCTATCCATGCCCTTCATGATTTTATAAACCTCTGTAAGGTCAGCCCACAGCCTTTGATGCTCCAGGTAAAATAGACAAAGCCTCTTCAGCCCTCCCTATAGCTCAAACCCTCCAACCCTGGCAAAATCCTTGCAAATCTTTTCTGAACCCTTTCAAATTTCACAACATCCTTCCTACAGCAAGGGAACAGAATTGCACACAGTATTCCAAAAGTGGCCTAATCAATATCCCTTACAGCCACATGACTTCCCAACTCCTTCAATATTCAATGCACAGACCAATAAAGGCAAGCATACCAAACACCTTGTTCACTATCCTAACTATCTCCGACTCCACTTTCAAGGAGCTACGAATCTGCACTCCAAGGTCTCTTTGTTCAGCAGCACTCCCCAGGACCTTATCATTAAGTGTGTAAGTCCTGCCCTGATTTGCCTTTCCAAAATGCAGCACCTCACATTTATCTAAATTAAACCCCAGCTGCCACTTCTCAGCCCATTGACCTATCTGAACAAGATCCCGTTGTACTCTGAGGTAACGTTCTTCGCTGTCCACCATACCTCCAATTTTGGTGTCATCTGCAAACTCATTGACCATATCATATTTTGAGAACAATTTTGTAAATCTCCTCTGCACCCTCAAGGACATTCAGACCCTTCCTAAACGGTCATAATCAGAACTGGGTACAATACTTATGGCCTTAACCAGAGTATTATAAAGTTTTATTATAACTTTCCTGTTTTTGCACTCAGTACCTCTACTTATTAAGTCCAAGATCCCTTTGCTAACTCTAATCTGAATACGTCCTGCACCTTCAAATATTTTAGGTACATGAAACCCCAGGACCCTCTGTATCTGCATTGTTCAGGATTATACCATGAAGTATATATTACCTCTTCATACCAATGCTACCAAAACACATTACCTCGCACTTCCCTGTATTAAATTCTATTAGGCATTTGTCTGTCCGTTCCAGCCTACGTTATCTTGCAGCTGATTGGTATCCTTACTGTTTGTCACACCTCCAAGTTTGGTATCATCAGGTTTGGACATTTTTTTCAGCATCTTAATATCCATAATTTGTATATATTAAATGAAAGGTAAACTCTCAGTTATTGCACATTTCACAACCTGAGAAGTAATTTACACTCATTTTAGTATTTTCAAGTATAATCACTGCTGGATGGCTACCAATTTGTGTACTAACAGTAATGAAATAGGTTTGGCAGGACAATAGCAAATTTAATTTTAATGATTAGATAGTCTGTTTTTTGTGATATTGGTTGAGAAATAACTATGGTCAGAGAGAACTCCTCTGTTGTTCCACAAGATAGCTAAGAAATCGCATATCCATTTGAGAAAACAGACAAGGTTTCAATTTAAGGTAGAATGCAGTAGTACATTAGTTTCCCCATTAATACTGTGTCAATAGTATCATTCATTTTGTCATTTAATCTCTCCTACCCTCTATCATATCAGACTTTTGGTCTTTAACCCATCTATTACATTACTAAAATTGCCCAGTTCTGATGAAAGGCCAGGACCTTCAATGGTAACTTTGTTTCTCTCTCTGCAGATGCTGCTAAACTTGATCAAGTACTTCTATAAGTTTCTGTTTTTTGTTAAACAAAATAACTTAACAGGTTGAATATGAAGAACAAACAGGTATTTATATCTCTTGCCGATTATCTCACCATTCTGGAGAAAGTTAAGGAATTCCTTTACAGTTTGATCTACATTAACATCATGGTAGACCACAGGTTTGAAATTGCGATGTTCAAAGGACCGCACCAAACGAATTGTGACAGTTATTTTCTCAGGAGACATGTGTTGCACCAGGAATTTTAATATGTCGAGCCTATGAATTGCAAAGGAATAATTGAGTTAACCTGTGATGACAAAGAGAATTTTGTGCACAGTTCAAATTTAACATTTGAATACCAGGAAGCCTTTCATCATGAAAATACATTTTTATATATTCAAAAACATCAATTTCTGTTTTTCTGCAGCTTAGACAATCATTTGAGGCTACAACAGAACATAACACACGAAATGCATTAATAGATAGTCCTCAAAATTGATTCAGTAATAAGACTGAATCCTGAGATTTGGCCAACATGTGGGCAGCACGGTGGCTCAGTAGTTAGCACTGCTGCCTCACAGTGCCAGGGAGCCAGGTTCGATTCCATCCTTGGGCAACTGTCTGTGTGGAGTTTGCACATTCTGTCAGCGCCACGGTGGCTCAGTTCTTAGCACTACTACCTCACAGCGCCAGGGACTCAGGTCCAATTCCACCCGTGGGCGACTGTGTGTGGAGTTTGCACATTCTCCCCGTGTCTGAGAGAGTTTTCTCCCACAGTCCAAAGATGTGCGGGTTAGGTAGATTGGCCATGCTAAATTGCCCACAGTATCCAGGGATGTGTAAATTAGGTAGATTAGATATCAAAAATGTAGAGCTACAGGGAAAGGATACGGGATCTGGGTGGGATGCTCATCGGAGGAGTGGTGTGGGTTTTTTGGACCGAATGGCCTGTTTCCACACTATAGGGATTCTACAATTAATTTAACCACGTAAACACCGTTAGGAACAGAAAAAAGCAACAATCTACATGGCAAGCCCAGAGAGAGCTCATCAAGGAGTACATTAGGATATTCTGCATCATGTGGCGCTGAGTGTAACTGAGACTAAAGATCAAAGAAGATAGGGTACAAATCAGTATAGTATAGTTGTTGTCACTTCATTGGCATGGCTGTTTGCAATGATTCAATTTTTTTAAAAAAGTCTATTTTTTTAAAAACAAAAATTGGTTCATGGTAATATTGGCATTGCTGGCTAGGCTAACATTTATCATCCTTGAGAAGGTGGAAGTTAGCTATCACATATCTATTGCCTTGTCGTTCCAGGTGGTAGAGGTTTGGAAAGCGCTGTCAGAGGAGCCTTGATGAGTTACTACAATACATCATGTAGATGGCATACACTGCTGTCACTGTGATGAAGGGCATGAATATTGAAGGTGGTGAACAGGGTACCAGTCAAGCTGGCTACTTCATCCTGAATGGCATCAAGCCTCTTGAGGACTTGAACACAGGGGTCAATCAGTAAGTTTGTGGACGATATGAAAATCAGTAAGGTGGTAAATAGAGAGGAAGATAGCCTTAGATTACAAGGGGATATAGACAGGCTGGTCAGATGGGTTGATCAACAGAAGTTAATCCAAAATCCATGTGTAAGTTGATGCACTTCGGCATTACAAAGTGGGTGGGAATCGGGAACGCACTGACTGGAAAGGTGGTAGAGGCAGAAACCCTCGTAATAGTTGAGAAGTATTTAGCTGTGCATTCTCAATGCCTACGCATACAATGCTATGGGCCTTGTGCTAGAAAATGGGATTAGAATAGCTAAGTGCTTATTTTTAACTAGTGCAGACTGAATGGGCCGAAGAACCTTTTCCTGTGCTGTAGACATCTGTGAAACTAAGACTCTACAAAAGTGTTGGTAGAAATATATTCATTCTTGTAGATGGTTGATACACAGACACTTGGGAGTTGGAGTCCACATACTGCAAAATTCCTAGACTCTGAAGTACTCTTTGAGCCACCTATGTGCTAGACAAGTGCAGCTTCTGGTCAGTGGGAAACCCCAAGTTCCTGATAGTAGGGGATTCAGCAATTGAACATCAAGGGAAGGTTTTCATTTTCATCTGTTGGAGATCATTGACTGGTACTCGTGTGGCATGAACGTTACTTGCCATTTATCAACGCAATTTTTTTTTTTTAAAAAACAGGTCTTGCTGTATTAAGGGCTACTTTAGTATCTGAGGAGTCACTAACAGTGTTAAACACAGTGCAGTTATCAGCAAACATCCCTACTCTTGATCTTATGGAGGAAGGCCATTCATTAATCGGGCCAAGGACACTACTATAAGGAACTCCTGCAGGTTGTGGCCAGAGGCCAAGATGACTGACTTGCAACAACCACAGCCATTTTTTTTTTTTGCCAGGTATGATATGAAGCAGCTGAGAATTTTCATTCATTCACATTGGCTCCAATAAGCTAGGGCTCCATAATGCCTTATTCATTGAATGCTGCCTTGCTCTTTTGTACAAGCAGAACCCAAACTGAGTGTCAGTGAGCAGGTTATTCCTTTGCAAGTGCTCCTTGATCGCACTGTCAGCAACCCTTTGTCACTTTGTTGATAAATTGAGGGTTTTGGCGAGGTTGGATTTGTCCTATTTGACACACAGGGTTAAGTTTTCATGATGTGAGGTATATGCCAGCGTTGTAGCTGTACAGGTAGAGCTTGGCTAGGGCATCATCATTCAGATTGGTCACTGGAACTGAGATTTTTGTAAATTAGTTACCTAATTTAGCAGTACTTTACCTATTGTATGTCAGAAGTTTTTAATGTAACACTAGCAAGTGAATCCGAGTGAGAAAAAGAGATTACAGAAGCTAAAATTTTATCATTGTACCATCCAGATACATGTGCATTTCTCTGATGCACAAGTTTCTAAAAATAAGGAAGTTGAGTCAAGTGTCCTAGCCCTGATACAGGTACCGAAACTTAAACGTGAATTTACCCAGCAAGATCCAGAAGAAATGAATGTCAAATTATAATGAAGTGATACAGCTTTGTACAAATAAGAAGTGAACAATTATACTGTATTTCTAGCATCTTGAGATGCCTACCACTCCTTTATTGTCCTTCATAAATAAATAAAGTGAATTAATGCAGAATGAAAACAAAAACAGAAATTACTGGAGAAACTCAACAGGTCTGGCAGCACGTGAACAGAAAATAGTGTTAACACTGTGTCCAGTTACGGTTAGATTCTTAAGTTTTTCCAACCATGTGTTTTCATTTCAGATCTTCAGCATCCACAGTTCTTTGTTTTATTTTAGCACAGATTGATGCTTGGCTAAAGAGAAAACAGGAGTGTAGGAATAAATATTTACATTTTCAAGTTGATGGATCGTAAATGAACAGGTTAAGTACTCAGGCCTTAGCTTTTTATAATCTATATTAATAAATTAGATGAGGGGAATAAGCATGATGTATCCAAGTATAGTATATAACTCAGATTCCCTTTTTCAGTTCCTCAGAAGGAACACCAGTCGAAACAAGTAAAGTGGCCATAAATTGAATCAGATAGTAGGAACTGCAGATGCTGGAGAATCCGAGACAACAAGGTGTACGGCTGGATGAACACAGCAGGCCAAGCAGCATCATAGGAGCAGAAAGGCTGACGTTTCGGGCCTAGACCCTTCATCAGAAATGGGGGAGGGGAAAGGGGTTCTGAAATAAATAGGGAGAGAGGGGGAGGTGGATAGAGGAGAGGAAACAGACAGGTCGAAGAGGCAGGGATGGAGCCAGTAAAGGTGAGTGTAGGTGGGGAGTTAGGGATGGGATAGGTCTGTCCAGGGAGCGGGATGAGGTTAGCAGGTAGGAGATGGGGGTGCGGCTTCAGGTGGGAGGAGGGGATAGGTGGAAGGACGAACAGGTTAGGGAGGCGGGGACAAGCTGGACTGGTTTTGGGATGCGGTAGGGGGAAGGGGAGATTTTGAAGCTTGTGAAATCCGTGACTCCCTTGTACGCTCCACGCTCCACGCTCCCCTCCAGCCCCACCGCACCCGGCACTTTTCCCTGCAACCGCAGGAAGTGCTATACCTGCCCCCATACCTCTTCCCTCACCCCCATCCCAGGCCCCAACAAGACTTTCCACATCAAGCAGATGTTCACCTGCACATCTGCCAATGTGGTATACTGCATCCGCTGTACCCGTTGTGGCCTCCTCTACATCGGGGAAACCAAGCAGAGGCTCGGGGACCGCTTTGCAGAACACCTACGCTTGGTTCGCAATAAACAACTGCACCTCCAGTCGGGAACCATTTCAACTCCCCCTCCCATTCCTCAGACGACATGTCCATCCTGGGCCTCCTGCAGTCCCACAACAATGCCACCCGAAGGTTGCAGGAACAGCAACTCATATTCCGCTTGGGAACCCTGCAGCCCAATGGTATCAATGTGGATTTCACAAGCTTCAAAATCTCCCCTCCCCCTACCGCATCCCAAAACCTGTCCATCCTCCCTGGACTGACCTATCCCCTCCCTAACTCCCCACCTACACTCACCTTTACTGGCTCCATCCCCGCCTCTTCGACCTGTCTGTTTCCTCTCCACCTCCCCTCTCTCCCTATTTATTTCAGAACCTCCTTCCCCTCCCCCATTTCTGATGAAGGGTCTAGGCCCGAAATGTCAGCCTTTCTGCTCCTATGATGCTGCTTGGCCTGCTGTGATCATCCAGCTCTGCACCTTGTTGTCTTGGCCATAAATTGATCCAGTTTCTTCTATTCCAAGTTGCAAGCGCCTCCATGCACACCCTTCCAAAAAACAAAAATTACTTTCTGCAGGCATAAACAACTCAGACAAGTGCTTCCACCTTCCCACGACCCATTTTCTTCCTACTTCAGCAAGAAGTGCTTTAAGAAAAATGTCATGTCAAACTGCAGGGCACTGCACCGACTAAGACAAAATCTGCAGCTCTACCTCACACACACACACACACAAACACAAACAAACTTAAATTCAGCTGAAATTCATCAGAAACCCAAGAATAAATGGGGAAAAAGTGAAATCTGCAATATTAGAAATATTTTTGAAGAAACTATTATGAGGACACCAGGACATTTAGCTTAAAACTGAGCCTGCCCTAGCAAAACCTGGGTGCCCCATTCATCCCACGTTGATGGAACCCAAAGTACACAGCTCAATTTACCTGACTTTTTCAATAACATTACTCAATAAGTCGAACTGAAAGACCACATCCTCATGAGGATATGGTTTCAGTCAGCAACTC